AAGCAGGCTTCCTGCTGACCTGAGCAGGGAGCCCGATGTGGGGCTCGATCCCAGGACCCTGGGATCATGACCTGAGTGGAAGGCAGATGCTTAACGACTGAGCCACCCAGGCGCCCCCAGTCTGATTCTTATAGGGGCTCTTAACCTTTGAGCCTCAGCTTCCAAATCCATAAAAGGGGGTGATTGCAACAGTAATACCAACTATTTAAGTGCTTTCTACGTGCCAGACACTGTTCTCACTGTTCACTCATTTAATCCTCATTGTAACCCAGTGAGATGGGTAGCTCCTGTTGTTACAAATAAGGAAACAGAGGTTCTGAGAGGTTAGGTAACTTGCCCAGAGTCACACAGCTCGTGAGTTGTGGAACTGGGCCTCGAACTCAAGTCCCACCTCTACGACACTGCCTTTGCTGGGCAGGGCGAGGAGGCAGTGGGCTGATTTTGTGTGAAAGCTCCATGGGAGTGCCTTCTCTCTCCCTCTCCCGAGGCAAGGCAAACCTGGGTCCCCATCTTTTAACTTTCTCTAAGTCACACAGTGGTGCTGACAGGCCTGGGGCCATAGTCAGTCAGTCTGAATGGAGCATCTACCACATGCCGGGCGCAGTGCTAGGCCCTGGGCCCAGAGCAGCGAAGAAAAAGCCAGCTCCCTGCCTCTGGCAGGGGCAGGGGTGCAGGAGTACTGAACGGCTGTGTACCGGGTCTGGAGTCAGGGAGGCTTTGTGCAGGAAGTAACAGTCCCTTATGCTGGCAGATGAGTGGGCAGCAGCTTTGCCAGGCCTTGAGGGAGGGGGAGTGCCACGGGCACAGACACCCACCCAGCATGTGCCAAGGCCCTGAGGCGGAGTGTGGGCAGACGAGTCCAGTGTGGCGAGAACACAGCAGGTGAAGGAGAAGCAGGTGAGGGCCAGGGGTCTGTGTGTCTTAAGTGCACTGCGGAGCCACGGAGGCTAGTAAACGGGAGTGATGTGGTCAGATAAACACTTAAAGGTCACCTGCACTTACAGAGAGTGACTTGGAGCAGGGCAGGGAGGAAGCAGGGAGGTAGCAGCACTGGCCGGGAATGGGGGTGCTCACGTTGGGATAGGCTCCCACCCACCCTTCAGGAGCCAGCTCCAGGGCCCCCTGCTGAGGGCGGTCTTCCGCAGCTACCCTGCATGGGCCACCCCCGCCCTCGGCTCTCACAGCCCAGGTGCTGCGCTCTGCCTCGTGGCTCCTGTCACAATGTTGATGCACATCGGTGGTCACTGTCTGATTGCTGCCTTCCCCCCAGTAGGCCAGGATTTCTTAGTCTTGGCACGGTTGACATTTTGGCCTGGGTGACTTGCTGTGTGTGGGGGGGTGTCCCGTACGCTGTAGGGTGCTGGGCAGCATCGTGGCATCTACTCACTAGATGCTGGAGGCATCCCAGCTGTGACAACAGATGACATGGCCAGATGTCTCACCAGATGGCTGAGAAAGAACCACGGCCCGAGCAAGTGGAGCTTGGGATATGCGAGGGGAAGTGTTTTGCTGTTGACATTTCCAAGCTCTAACAAGTTGACCTGTTCCAGGATTATGGCAGGAAAGGTGAAATGGGTCACTGATATCGAGAAGTCAGTGCTGATAAATAACTTTGAAAAGAGAGGATGGATCCAAGTGACGGAAAATGAAGATTGGAACTTTTACTGGTAAGTAGAGAAAGCAGCATTTGCTTGTTTTTCCCGAAGCCTGCTTGTCAGTCTTGTGAATGCTGGCAGCCAGGTGCAGGCTGTGTTCGAGAGGGGCGCCTCCCATTGCACGTCTTCCACCCCAAGGCTCCTCAGGAGCACACGACGAGAAAGCCCTTTGCTTGTCCACGTTGTGGAGTGTTCCCACACTCCCGTTTATCCGCCTGGCATCAGAAGTCCCGGGACGTTTCCGCACAAGCCGGCCTGGCTAAGACAGCCAGGGTTTGGGTGAGAAGCCAGAGCCCCCTCCGGTTGGCGTTCTCAGTCAGTGCCTTTGCCCAGCGCCGGGGAAGGGGGCTATGGAGCGGGATCTGTGCCTCCCTTCGCTTCCTTGGGTGCCGGTGGGACTGGTTAACAACAGCTGAAAAGCGAGTGACACGAGGAACAGGGAGGCAGGGCTCGGCACTGAGTCCCTGGTGGTGCTCCACCCAGTTGGAAACACGGGGGCTTGTCCTAGACTCCTGCCCCTGCCCTGCCTCCCCCCTCTTCATGGAGTGAGGTCCTGTGTCCTCCCTTGTCCAGGCCTGGGCTGTGCCCTGCCTCGGGGCAGCCTCCACCCTCTGGCAGTGTTATACGCCAAAACACAGCCTCCCATGGTTGCCTCTGCCATGCCCAGCCCTCTTCAGTTCCTGTGCCCAGAGCACTGGGTGAATCTTTGAGGGAGGGGGAGCTGGTGGGTCTCTTCAGGCTTTTTTTTTTTCTTTTAAGATTTTATTTATTTGTCAGAGAGAGAGCACAAGCAGGGGGAGCGGCAGGCAGAGGGAGAAGCAGGCTCCCCGCTGAGCAAGGAGTCCAGTGTGGAACTCGATCCCAGGACCCCGAGATCATGACCTGAGCTGAAGGCAGACGCTTAACGACTGAGCCACCCAGGCGCCCCTGGAGGCTTTTTTACCCTATGCATCCACGCTCCCTGAGACCCGCTCCCCGCTGCTGCCCTGAGAGATGTTACTGGGCCTCTTTCCAGCCACTTCCTTCTCTCTCACGCCCATGCGGCGGTTGGCACTTTTTCCCCTGTTGACCTTCTAAGACATTCTTGATCTGCAGCTTTGTGAAGGCTGTGCTTTCTGCCCCCTCAGCCCAGGCTTGAGAGGTGCAATGCATCTGGCGGTTGAATGTGCAGACCCCGGAGCCAGGTCATGCCTGGCTTCCCAGCCTGGCTCTCCCACTGCTGCCTGTGTGGCCATTAGCAAAGGACTTGACCTTTCTCTGCAAATACGGTTGTTTGAAGTTTGAATGAGTCAGTAAAGCACAGAGCGTGGCATGTGATGGGTGCTCCGTAAGCATGTGCTGGCGCTGTCCTTCAGGCCCCAGCGCACGAGCTGCCTGCCCCGCCCGGAAGCCGCCTGTGTCTCTCCAGACGCCCAGCCTGCTTTCTCAGCTGTCACGCAGCGAATGCTGCGTGCCATGATTTGTGATTTCCCCACCTGTGCCCTCATTACGTGTGACTGCGAGCCTCATGGCAGTGGGGACCTTGTCTGGCTTACCCCAGCATCCCAGAGCCTGGTGCTGGCCCGGGTGCAGAGCAGACTGGCATCCAGCTTCCATCTCCAGTAGTGATTGGAGGGATGACCCCTTCTTTGCTCCTGTAGCAGTTTAAGGTACCCATGCTTTAAACCAAAACCTCATTTCCCTTGAGGAGTATGGAATGGCAGCAGAAAGCATTTATGGAGAAACGCAGCATCCGTGTGTGGTTTGGCATCACATTTATATTCTTCTCTACAGTAGAATGAAATAACACAGCCAGAGTTCTGCTTCCATGGGAGCTCTGAAAGAAAGGCTGAATAAGAGTGTTTTGTCAGGGCGCCTGGGTGGCTCAGTCGGTGAAGCGTCTGCCTTCGGCTCAGGTCATGATCTCGGGGTTCTGGGATCGAGCCCGGGGTTGGGCTCCCTGCTCAGTGGGGAGTCTGCTTGTCCCTCTGCCCTTACCCCCGTCTTGTGCTCGCTCGGGCATGCTCTCTCTCTCTCAAATAAATAAAATCTTGAAATGTCATTTTAAAAAAAAAGTGTTTTGTACTTACTGCTTTGTGTCCCACGGCTCTGTGCCATGGACTTAGCCAGCCCTCAGTCCTTTTGGCTTCTCTGATTAATCAATGCTTGGGAGGGTGCAGAGCGCCTCCCTCTTCATGCCACATAAGAAGCATTTTGGAGCTAGTCTTAACGAGAGAGAGAGAGAGAGAAAAGAGTGGAAATGTATAACTTTGGATATTTGATCTCTTCAGAGCTCCTGTTTTAAGCACTAAGCGTCCCATCGAGTCTTAACAATTGGTTAGGGTAAAAATACTGGCAACAACTAAATATTAAATGGTTATAGGGAAAGGTACCCATGTGAACCGGGTGGATTATGGTATAGCCATTAAAACAACTGTGACAGTTCTAAAGCAATCTGGAAAACTGTATAAGAATAAATATAAAGAGGGGCGCCTGGGTGGCTCAGTTGGTTAAGCGACTGCCTTCGGCTCAGGTCATGATCCTGGAGTCCCGGGATCGAGTCCTGCATCGGGCTCCCTGCTCAGCAGGGAGTCTGCTTCTTCCTCTCCCGCTCCCCCCTCTTGTGCTCTCTCTCTCTCAAATAAATAAATAAAATCTTAAAAAAAAAAAAAGAATAAATATAAAGAAAAACATATTATGAAACTGTATTTGTGTTCTGCTCTCAGCTTGCGTACGGGCAGGAAGTAGGAGCAACGTGAAACACAAAAGCCATGGCTATCCTAGTGTGGGTGTATTAGCTATCTGATGGCCAAACTGCTGGCATGTAATAGACACCACAAAACCCTGGGCTCGAAGCAACCATTTTCTTTTTCTTTTCTTTCTTTCTTTTTTTTTTTTTTAAGATTTATTTATTTGAGAGAGAGAGAGCATGAGCCAGGGGAGGGGCAGAGGGAGGTGGAGAAGCAGGCTCCCCGATGTGGGGCTCGATCCCAGGACCTCGGGATCATGACCTGAACCAAAGGCGGACACTTAACCAACTGAGCCACCCAGGCGCCCCTCGAAACAACCATTTTTATAGCACATGCGTTTTTAGGTTTGGCTCCGTGGTACTTTTAGATCAGCAGGACTTAGCTGATCCTGCCTGGGCTCACTCGTGCATCTGCTGTCACCTAGGGGGGTCAGTGGGGGCTCGTCTGCTCCTGGGTGCCCTTGGCTAGGACCACAGCGGCTTCTCTCCACAAAGCTTTCCCATCCCTCTAGCCAGCGAGCTTGGGCTCGCCCTCCTGCGGTGGCGAGGGTCCAGGAGGGAGGGCAGAAGCTCTGCAGGCCTTTCAGGGTTAGTCTCCAAGCGGCACACCATCGCTTCTTCCACATTTTTGGCCAAAGCGAAGCCAAAGTGAGACGTGTCTGGGCCCAGACCTTAAGAAACTAGCAGCTTCCCCTTCTTTTATGGGAACCCTCTGTGGGAGCCCCAAGCCGCCATGTGAGAAGCCTGACTGCTGGGACTGTCTTGCTGGAGGAGCTGTATATAGGGGTTGTGTGTGGCAGCTGCAGCTAGGCCTGGCCTTCCAGCCATGCCCACCAAGGTGCCAGACATACGAACAAAGCCTTCTTGGACCCTCCAGATTGGATCATACACTGAATACTCCCAAGTGGCCTCAGTCAGTGTCACATGGAGCAGAAGCATGCTCCCCTGAGCCCCGGTCCCAGTCTTGATCCACAAAACCATGAGATGTGATTCAGTGGTTGTTGTCTGAAGTTGCTAACACGGGGCAATTTGCTTTGCAGTACTAGATACCCAGAATATGTCTCATCACATGACCTGAGGATGGCAGGAAACCAGCTCATTATTTTAAAAACCGATAAATAAAGGGAAAGAATCAAGCATTTCATTAGTCTTTCCTGTATGAACTGTTTTGGGTGTCCAAATTGTTGATGAAGGGAAACTTCTCCTTGTAGACATATTCCTGCTAATACACGAAGGAGAAATGAAAACGTAGAAATATACCCATTTTGCCTCCATTAATGACATAGGAGTCTAGGCCTGCCCAGTACGAGAGCCACTGACCACAGGGCTGATGAGCACTTAAATGTGGCTGGTCCAAATGTAGATGTGCCCCAAATCGACCTGCAGCTCTTAGGCCTTGTGGTCTGACTCCTGATTTACTGGTAGTGTGTGGGGGGGTGGGTAGGGAGGGGGCGCCAGCGTAGCCGTGCTAAGTAAGGAACATGTGAGGACCTCTGGAGGACCTGGAGGATGGGTGACCCAGGGTCTTCAACAAATAAATAACATAGAAAAAAAAAGGAGGGAAAATACAGATTGAAAGAGCCATGGGAGAGAGAACAGCGCATCAGAAGGTCTGGCCTTTATTTGCACAAGCTGTAAAAAATATTTATCAGGGGCGCCTGGGTGGCTCAGGCGTTAAGCATCTGCCTTTGGCTCAGGTCATGATCTCGGGGTCCTGGGATCGAGCCCCGCGTCGGGCTCTCTGCTCAGTAGAGAGCCTGCTTCTCCCTCTCCCACTCCCCCTGCTTGTGTTCCCTCTCTTCTCTGTGTCTTTCTTTGTCAAATAAATAAAATCTTAAAAAAAAAAGAAATTTGTCAGACAACTTGGGAAATGTGAGCATGGATTAATGATGATACTCAGAAATGACTAGTTTTTTTTTAGTTGTGATAACAGTATAAAGTAGGATATCATATAATATAAAAAAGAGTCCTTAGCGATTAGAGATTCTGATAGGAATGTTTTGGGTTGGACGTTGTATCTGGAAATCGCTCCCAAATAAGTTGGTGCTGGTGCGCTTTTCTCTCTGCTTTTGTGGGTGGTCGAGCTCTTTCGTAAACATTTTAAAACTCCCATTATTCTGGGCGCCTGGGTGGCTCAGTTGGTTAAGCGACTGCCTTCGGCTCAGGTCATGATCCTGGAGTCCTGGGATCGAGTCCCGCATCGGGCTCCCTGCTCGGCAGGGGGTCTGCTTCTCCCTCTGCCCTCTTCCCTCTCGTGCTCTCTCTCTCTCATTCTCTCTCTCTCAAATAAATAAATAAAATCTTTAAAAAAAAAAAAAAGTTGAAGAAAAAAAAAAAACTCCCATTATTCTAATGACCGTAGAATCAAAAGAAACCCTTTGGGCGCTCGAGGCCCTCCGGGGTGGATGGGGTGGATCGGGGCCAGGAGCGAGAAGCCATAGACAGCCCGCCTCTCCTGTGGCCCGTGGCTCCCTAGTGAGGGCCAGTCCTGTCCTTCCTGCTCCCTCCCTGCTTCTCTGTGGGGCTAGGAGGGCGGGGCCTGGGGGTGGCAGGGAGACTGGCTTTCTTAGAGGATTATTAGAAGGAATCCCTTACCCTTTCACCCCTCCTCATTTCACTTGAGTGCTAGCCCATCTGCAAGAATATGAAGTACTGACCCAGGGCCCTCAAGTCACCCTGTGATTTTGACTTAAAGCGGTCCCTGTCCTTGACTTTGGGTGAAGATGTTGTGTAAATGATTTTCCTGATTTCAGAGTCTGGAGGAGGCTCTTTCATTGGCTTGTTATCCACAATCAATGGTACCCTTAATCGATAAGCATTTATGGAGCATATATTCTGTGTTGGGGAGTGAAACCATCCACTGTAGAGACTCAGAACTGTCCAGAGACCAGAACCCAGCTGGTCACTGGACACCGCCCTGTGCTGCCCTGGGCCAGGCATCTCCTGGCCCAGTTCCAGGGGTTGGGGGAAACGGGTAAGCCCCTCTGGTCACCAGCTTTTGAGAGAACTGCCACCACGTGGACCTGCTCTGAGCTTTTGCTCTGCATGCCCCTTCTGTGCTTCCCTTTTAGGATGAGTGTGCAAACCATCCGAAACGTTTTTAGTGTCGAGACTGGCTATCGGCTCTCAGACGATCAAATAGTCAACCATTTTCCGAACCACTACGAACTGACCCGGAAGGACCTGATGGTGAAGAATATTAAAAGATACAGGAAGGAGCTGGAGAAGGAAGGGAGTCCTCTAGCAGAGAAAGACGAAAATGGGAAATACCTCTATCTGGGTTTGTGTCTTTCTCACTGGCCCCATGTTTCAAACACAGCCCTGAGTTCACTAGTGACACCAGGTACCGAGATGGTGACATGCTTGTGGTGGCTGGGCTGGGCACCTCTTCCATTCCACGTGTCTCCAGAATGGCAGGGCGGGGGCTCACATTTGGATCTGAGTTTCTAGGAGCGCCTTGGGAACATGGTGCACGTGAGGAAGAGCGCGTCCTCAGTACTCAGAGCTCAGTGCTCGTCCCGAACTGCAAGCTGCATTTTGTAATGCAGGCTCATCACTGCATCTGGCGGTTCCCAGGGAGAAGTGTGTCTACATACCCGGGAAAATTAAAGAACCAATCTCTCGGGGCCTCAGTTTCCTCATCTGATACATGGGGATAATAACAGGACCTAGCCCACAGGGTGCTGTGGGGATTAAAGGTTTGTGAAGTGCTTAGCACACAGGTGATAAGGTTATCGTACACGAATCGAATGGCAGAGGGGCTAGTCCTTTCGATACTGGCTCGGGGAGGGGGTGGCGTGAAGCAGCCTCAGAAAAAGCAGTGGCCATGTTTTCCTGCCCGTGACCATGTTGGCCTGGCTCACCCACTGCTGTGCCCTCTGTTTCCCCTTTCAGACTTTGTTCCGGTCACCTACATGCTGCCCGCTGACTACAACCTGTTCGTGGAGGAGTTCAGGAAGAGCCCCTCCAGCACCTGGATCATGAAACCTTGTGGCAAAGCCCAGGGGAAGGGCATCTTTCTGATCAACAAGCTCTCACAGATCAAAAAGTGGTCCCGGGACAGCAAAACTTCTTCGTGAGTGCAGGGCCCGCCCATCCCAGGGGCTTCCGAGTTAGGAGTTCCAGGCCACCTGTCAGTCTTGGCCGGGGCTTGGGGACCCTCGCTTGCTTTTGTAGGTGTGTGGCATTTGCCACGTGGCGCCGTGGCAGGGTTCTGTGGCTGCAGTCGTGTGATTGACTGTAGGATCCCACCTGAGGCAAGTTGCAAAGAAAAATGGTGTATGAACCAGCATACGGTCCCAGGAGCGGGGACCCTTGTGGGCTGCTCTTTGTTCTGGAAGTTTCTGTGAGACCCGCTCAGTCCTGGTATTTCTGAGGCAGTGAAGCATCTGCTTAAGATCTGGGCCCAGGGTATGTAGGTTTGAATCCCTGTCTATACTTACTGCCTGAGTACCTTTTGTTTGGGTAGACTTTTAACATGCTTCCTCTGGGTAAATGGGGGATGCCAACAGCACCACCCTCACGGGGGCAAGATGGGGATAGAATAGGTGAATCGGTGCGAGGCACATGGGAGTGTGTGCGGTCAGTGGCAGGGGGTGGCGCTGTGCGGTGTCAGGTCAGCTCTCTGCCCGGGGTTTGAGGGCTCCTTGGAACTGAGGATACCAGGCCAGGGGGGTTTGTTTTGTCTGGGGCTCACCCTGCCTCGGAGGGTCCTGAACCGCTCGGAGATGCTGGATTGTGAGTCTCTCCTGGAGGGCTGGTGGCTCACTGTCAGGGTTCCTAGGAGCGACAGGGTCACCTTCTCCTCGTGCAGAGCACTTAAGTCTGAGTGCACACTGCTGACCCCCACGTGGGTCAGGCCCAGGGAGCACGTCCCTGATGGGTTCCCAGAGACTGCTGGCACTGTCCTCCGGGGCAGGGGCACAGCTCGGGGGCTCCTCCATGGAGCCACCTGACCCCCGTTTTCTCCCCGACACACCGGCCTCTCACTTAATGAGAGGCAGAGGGCTTGTTACCAACCTTTGGTCTTTGCCATCTACCTTTGACCTTCTCTGACGTGTTTAGGTTTGTGACACAGTCTACTAAGGAAGCCTACGTGATCTCTCTCTACATTAACAACCCGCTGCTCATCGGCGGGAGGAAGTTTGACCTGCGCCTGTACGTTCTGGTGTCCACGTACCGCCCACTGCGCTGTTACATGTGAGAGCCCCTGGGGTTCTGTCTCGCGCTTTGGCCCGCCCAGAGCGGGCAGCTCTTCGGAGACAGGAAGTAGATGAGCGTTGGCCCAGCCCTGGCGGGGGCAGTGACTGCTGATGGTCACAGGCTCTCTCTGTGGGGCGACGAACACAGGAAATCGAGTGTGGTACTCACCGCGCACCTCTGGGGTTACCAAGAAGCAGTTAGCTGTGCGCTGCAGGGGGACACTGTGGCATAGGAGTTATATCTTTTTTTTTTTTTAAGACTTTATTTATTCATTTGAGACACAGAGATACAGAGAGAGAGAGAGAGAGAGCATGAGCAGGGAGAGAGGCAGAGGGAGAGGGAGAAGCAGGCTCCTTGCTGGGCCAGGAGCCCGATGTGGGGCTCGATCCCAGGACCCTGAGATCATGACCTGAGCCGAAGGCAGACACTTAACGACTGAGCCACCCAGGCGCCCGGCATAGGAGTTGTATCTTAGTACGACTGTTACAAAAAAAAAACAAAACATAAGAAAGCAGCTCTTTTAGAGGCTTAAAACCAAAAAAGGGGCTCTTTTAAGAGAACAAAGTATTATATATATATATATTCTATTTTATTTATTTGAGAGTGAGAGCACGAGCAGGGGCAGAGGGAGAAGCAGGCTCCCCGCCGAGCAGGGAGCCCGATGTGGGGCTCGA